ATAATAATAAAGTAAAATAATGGAAATGCAATAATAACAGTAATAATAGAGTAGAATAATAAATGTAATAATAGAATAAAATAATAAATGCAATAATAATAAAGTAAAATAATAAATGTAATAATGATCATAAATAGTGCAAAATAATAAATGTAATAATAATAATAATAATAATAATAATAATAGGGTAAAATACTGTAAATGTAATAATAATAAAGAGAGTAAAATAATACATGAAATAAAAATAATACTAATAACAGTAAAATAATAAATAACCTTGACTTGAGTATAAGCCAAGGAGAGCTTTTTCAGCCTAAAAAAAGGGCTGAAAAACTAGGCTTATACTCGAGTATATACAGTAGTTTAAATTTTAAAATTGTAAAAGAAAACAAAAACCCGGAGTGTCGGCATACCTCAGTTAATTAAGCCTCTGATTTTTTTTAAAAAGCTATTTTTACAAAGTCTTTTAAAATCTAATAAGCCCCCATTTCTTCCTCACAGCATACTAAAATACGGAATTGTTGTGCCTTTGCTTTTTTCAGTGCAGTTCATTTCACTTTGCTGCCCCTTATGTGACTAGTTTTTATTGGGAATCTGTATTTCTACAGAGACATCAGTACCTAAATGTCTTGTTGGAAAACCAAAACTGGTGACATTTCCTCACAGTACTGTATCTTATTCAGAACACACCAACAAGCAGCATATCAGCTGTCTTCTTTTGAACAAGCTTGTAGAAAGGCCTTTTTGTTTAATAAACTGATTTTTCTAAAAGCATCACATTAGACCTGGTCACAAGACTTTCTGACTGAGTGCCTCTTATTAGGCTTGCTTTTTTCTTTTTTGTCCAAAGATTCAATTTCGTGTTCTAGCAGTTGTTAGGAGTGTTTGTTGAAACGGGGTAGTGGGGTGAAAACAGGGCATTGCCTGAAGCAACATGGCAACTTTTCCTCTTAAGCTTACAACCTCAACTTTGATCACTCAAGTCTCAATGCTTCCTGCAAAAATCATTCCCCATATTTTATGAAGCATTCTCTTCTCTCTTTTTTTTGAGACAAACACAGTATTGTGTTAATTTATAAAAACATAAAACCACTGACCACTTTATAGGCCAGATTTTGCTTTTCTATATGTGACTGTTGGTACAAAGGAGTTGAAAGTGAAGCACACGAAAAAGTGAAGGTGGGATCACAAGAACTGGTGGGATCACAAGCCTGAAAAAGTTATAGAAAATGAACTACGTTAAACTATTCTGGGACTTCTGAATTCAGACTGACAGAGTTTTGGAGCACAATACTCCTGACCTCACGATCATGTTAAAAAACGAAGTATGGATCGTCAATGTTGCAATCCCAGACAACAGTAGGATTGAAGAGAAACAATTGGAAAAGCTGACACGACATGATATGAGAATTTAAAGATCGAACTGCAAAGACTCTGGCACAAGCCAGTAAAGATGGTCCCAGTGGTGATTGGTACACTGGGTGCAGTGCCTAAAGACCTTGGTATGCACTTAAACACAATTGGCGCTGACAGAATTACCATCAGCCAGCTGCAGAAGGCCACCCTACTGTGATCTGCACGCATTATTCACCGATACATCACAATGTGTGATCCAATACAACAGCCAGAAAAGTGATCTTGTCTGCTGTGGACTCATCTTGTTGTGTTTCAAATAATAATAGCAACAACAACAACAACAACTTTATTTTTATACCCTCCATCATCTCCTCAAAGAGACTCAGAGTGGCTTACACATGGGACCAAGTTCAGAGCAAACAACATAGTTTAGCAACTAAAAACACAATTAAAAACACAATATCATATCACAATTTAGTAAAACAATAAAAACAGCAGGGTATGAAAACATAATTGAGATGTATCAGAAGCAAACTTCAAAAACCAATGACTAGAAATATGATGGACATAATCAGAGTTAGAGAGGGCTGGGCATGGACTTGTGCAAAAACCAATTATAGAAAAGGAGTAGGGAACCTAGTAGGCTATGATTGGAGCATTAGCTAAATGATTGACAGTGATGCTAAGCTATGTTTTCTTGTATTTCATTTTTAATTATTAATTTTGTTATTCTTGTACTGTTTTTGTAAGTTACTTCCCCTGGTTTAACTTTAATTCAAATTTAGAGAAGAGAGGGGTAAATATAAAATCAGGTACTGGACTAGAAAGCTAGAATAGCTGGTGTCCAGAAAGCTAGTGAAGTACGTTTGAGTGGACTTGAGCTAGAATTGATAACTTGGGAATCTGGACAATATATCACCCATTCTTCCTCTGCTCTGCCATCTTAATTTGAGCAGCCTATACCAGGTAAAACACTATGCAGAATCTAAGCCTGTAGTCCAACGACAACAAAAATGTTCATTCAGAACATGTCAGTCCCTCACTTATTTCCACAAAACTAAAATCCAAGCATGTATTTTTGCCACAGTAGTCATATATATTACTCCCAAATCCTTCTAAAAACTGTATCAGAATAGGACCAGGATAATGAGATAAATTATTTGTAATGCAATTAACATGCTAATGCACCAAGGATCATTGTTGAACATTCCCTTGAAAAGAACCTGAAGGCATGGTGTTCAAGTCTTTCAGAGGAAGACAGAAGCAAAGGATGGCATTGGATTCCATCTGGTCTCCCATACTTTGTAACATCTCCATATGAGACCATGATGAGAATTCATCTGAACACCTCAATTGAAGGGACACCATTAAGGTCACTGATAAAAGCCCTGACCAGCAAGAGTCATGAGAAGCGAATTGGTAAGTATTAGGAATAGGGCAAATGCCTAGTCCATGGAGATACATAAAGCTCACTACATTGCTACTGGATTTTTAGAAAACAACATAAAATTCATATTTATTCCAATGTACAACTAATGCTTAGAAATCTTTAGTACCAATGCCGTTGAATGTATTTAATTTTAATTATTATGTTTTTGTTTGCTAAACTATATTGTGAGGACAGGTTAAAATAAATAAAGTGATTTCTGTTTTGAAAAGCTTCACTGAAAAGACTAGCAGAACATATTGAATCAACCGTAATTGTTACTGCCAAACATCAAAACTATTATCCATGTAGCATTTTTTTCTATCCAATCATTCCAATTTCTGATTGCAATATTGATTCTGAGAAGTCCTGAGGCTTAACTGCAAGAAAGGAAGTGCCAGTAATTGCTCACACAAGTTAATTCATCATAAGGAAAGCATCTGACTCACTAATGCGTTGTGTCTTGTGAATTTAGATACCAACTGCAGAAGACATTTTAGCTAAGGAGTTGTACTGAATTCTTCCAACAGATTTTTTTTCAAGTTTGGAACCTGCCCAGCCCCATTTGGTAAAGAAAACAAATGATATTTCATGACTCTTCCTACCATTTTACCATTAATGTCTTTCAAAAGCATGCTTTAAATGGTAAAGATTTTTTTTTGTCTGCCAACAGTGGTGATCTGTATTTTAAAAAATAACCTTTTACAGAGTAAAGGTGAATGCAAAGTACAAGACAATTATAATAAATAATAAACAGAAGACATTTTAGCATTTCAAATCTTTTTAGGATCAAGCTATCTAGCAAACAAAACAAATACTTCATCATATATAGTTCAACCGCAAATGCCAAGCAACTAAACAAAACATCATATTTTGCTCTCCAGGATACAGCATTTGGAAAGTCAGTGCTAACATTGCTATTTGACAGTTAAAGCAAATTTCTGGTTACTTTGATTTGCAAATCCAGTTGGGTTCCAGAAGATCTTCAGACCTGCTGCTCTTGTTTATCCCATCCCTAAATATACAGTACATTTTTTACCTGACAAGATTCAATATCTGGCAAGACATGATAAGGAGAATATCTTTAGGTAATACAAGCAGTAAAAAAGCCTGGATGTACTGTGTTTGAAAATTTGCAGTCAGCTAAACCATTTAGGGCAATGAGGGTTTTAAATCACAGGCCTTCCTCCCTGAACCAAGACGCATGATCAGACAAGAAGGACAGGGATTGAGAGATAAAAGTACCTCTGTTACCAGAAGGAATTTTCTATGGCTGTCCCCAGACCATGGAATGACCTGCTGGGAGAAATTTGTCAATTCCAGATGCTATTTGAGCTGAAATCAGCAGTTTCCCCCTGTAGGCCTCTCCAGATTATTTTTAAATTGTATTTTAAAGTATTTATTGTTAGATTTTAATATGGATTGGTGTTATTTGCTCCTTTGACTGGTCCTTGTGTTGTGTTAATTGTTTTTCTCTGCCATTGTAGAACAATGATATGCATGTTTTAACACAGAAACAAAATATTTTAAAGATCTAGACATCTACCTGTAATATGTACATATTTTGATAATAAATACAAACATTAGTTAATAAATATAAATAATGTAATGTGGCATAGTAGGCATAATTGTTTTTATACTTTGCTATATTGGCATTGAGAGATAAGAGTTGCTGCCTGAGAAATCACACTCCTAATGTATCAACTGAGGCAAATTAAGGAAATTGTTTTTATCTATTTGCTGTTTAAATATTTAAAAAGTATCAAAGATCTTCAAGAACAGTCAAAACACATTTAAAGAAATATATGAAAATGGTTTTTTTTAAAAAAGTAAAGCATTACTGATCAATTCCATATTCAACATAAATATTAGTAATTTTACCAACATAATGTTTTGTAGTTTAACAAATCTAAGAATCACTTGCATTCTCACATATTGTCATTACCTATGTAAGTAAATATAATTGATACACATAGGAGAACTTCTATTTTTTAAATTCAATTGATATATAATGACATTGGTTAATATCTAACATACTATTTTCATTCCAAATACATGTCCCTCAATAACTAGAATATAAGCATAACTTCAAGGGCACATGTTTGACCATGCAGTTTTCATGTGTCTTTATTGTGCAGGTACCAACAGGACTTGCAAAAGAGACATTCCCAATAGATTGCATATCATCTTAGCATTAAAAAAATTAAAAGTGACTAACCTGGATGCAAGTGATGTTGTTGTTGTTGACTATGGAAGTCTCCACTGGCACTTTGATCGAGGCCTGGTTGTCTCATAGAAAGTCCGGAATGTCCACATTCAGAAAACCCGAGATGCAGTTGTGCTTCTAGATCGTTAGCTGACAAGAGATTTGCACCAAAACATCTTGAATTGTGATCATCACTACATACAGATTCCTCTTCAGCTTCAAGAGCAGGCAAGAGAAGAATTCTGTGGTGTAGCTGTGGGCTAGGCAGACGTGATGACAAAGGAGAAGGCAGAGGCGACATCTGTTTGTGTGTATTAGAGGATGGGTATGAATTATTAAAAACATTACTAACCGCTACTAAAGAGGGAGACAGTGGCTTTTTATCTTCCTGTTTCACACTCGTCCTTGTCTGACAAATATCAGGATCCAAATGTATAGGCAGGTGTAAAGATGCATATTTACTGTTCTCTGGGGGCACTATAGGTCTTGTTTCAGATATTCCTATTCCTGTTGACTTTGTAATATGATGTAATCTCTTCCATTCTGCCGTTTCATCTAACTTGTCACTCTGTATAACCTTCAATATGGTTTTATTGACTGCTCCTATGAGACTACTTGATTCATCAATAACATCTTCGTTTTCATTATATTGCTGAATGTAGTCTTCATGGGGCTTTTCCTGCACCACAGTGGAAAAAACAGAACCAGTTGATTCTTTGCTTTTCCTTCTGTCAGCAGAAGATGCTTGGCCATATTCTACAGAAGCACTTAAAACTTGCTCTATTTCATATTCTGAGTTTTGTCCTTTTGTTACCACTCCATCTTCAAGCTTGCTTTTGTGGTTCTCTGCAGTATGATTATAGCCATACAGCATTTCAGGTATTCCAGTCTTATCAAAGGCCTCCGATTTATTGGCATGAGTTTCTTGGAATGAGTTCCCCAAAGGGCCGCTCTGCTGCCACTGAATCTCTTTAAGTGAATTATCCACTTCGTCTAATAAACTATGGCTGGAGTGTGCAAAACAGTGTCCGGACACATCATTATCATACTCAGAGATGGAAATGGAGATATCTGTATCAGATCCAAAAGCTTGATTTCTCTCAAGCAAAGGCCACTGTCTTCTTAATTGTTCTGGTCGTTTATTCACATCAGATGATAAATTATCTTTGTCCTCCAGGTTCTCCTGATATGAGTGCATAAAAGAACTGGAAGAGACATCTTCAGGACATGTAGCAGAAAGCAATTTGTTGTTCCCTGACAATACTTCTCTGCGGCTTGAAGCAGAAGACTCCAAAACTCCTGAGATCTTTCTTTTAATTCTCTTGTTTATAAAATCCTCAATGCTCTCTCTCCGTTTACTAGATTTCCTTTGTTTTTTTGTTTTCGTGGACTTCCTTTCAATGGATTCTGAAAAAGATTCTTGTTGATCCCAGAAAGCCAAGTTCTCATCATTTTTATTTTCAGAAATGTCTTGCAGCTTTCCATCTTGGTTTCCCATTTTAACATCTAGAATTTGGCTTGAATTAAGTAGATTGGTCAAGAGCTTCTCCTTCTCAGCATTTAGTTTATAAAGCTCAGTGAGAATATCCTTAGTAGTTGTTTGCTTGAAAAAGATGTCTCCAAGGTCTCCACAGGTCTGCCTTCTTGATTCCAGAGCATCTGAGCTCTCCCTCACTTGATAGCAATTAAGGAAACATTTTTTCGATTTGTCCAGAGTCACACAGCGCTTGTATGTGAATCCTCTGACTTTTCCCCTTGGAAGACAGAAACTGACGTAGCAAATCTCTATAACAGGTCTGTGCAACTGGAGGATAGTATGAGTGCCTTCCATTGTGCTTTTCTAACTATTCATGCATTTAAAAATGATGAGGTCAATAATCTTGCATGACACACCATGTGATGCAAGGGAAGTAGAGAAGACATCTGATTAATCTTCTACGGTAATTTTTCCTGTTAAAAAGAAAAAAGAGACACTTTTAAAGAACAAATTGTTTTGGAAATTCCACATCCCTCAAAAGTAAAGATAAACAGATAACAAATGAAGTATTTTAGTGTTTTTAAAATATAATCCAGGATAACGCTTGCATTGTAAGCCTTGGATCACTCTCCCAATTACCACTCTTTGACCTTTGAGAGAGAAGAACAGCCAGACATACTCCCATTATGTTGGGATTCAACTGTTGCTGAACTTAATACTCCCCTTCTTCCTTCTTCATCCGTTTTCCCTTGTGTGCCCTGTTTTAATTATAAGGCTGAGGGCAAGAACTGTTGTATTAACTATTTTACAGCCACTCTGGGAGCTTTTGGCAACATATATGTACATTAAACAAACTAACAATAAATCAATATCAGTCAATCACATGAACATTTAGTTAAAAAAGAAATCTCATACAGTTAGAATTTTTCCAAGATCATCTCAAATATTGTCTCAGTCATCCTTAAAACACAACATACAAACAATCTACAAACCCACCAAGAAAATCCAAAAATGCTACGTTCAGCAAAGGACAAGAGGGATCCTCTCACCTCTGCAGGAGTCTACCGTATACCATGCAGCTGTGGACAAGTCTACATAGGGACCACCAAACGCAGCGCCCAGAACCAAGGAACATGAAAGGCACTGCAGACTACTTCAACCAGAGAAATCAGCCATAGCAGAGCACCTGATGAACCAACCTGGACACAGCATATTATTTGAGAACACAGAAATGCTGGACCACTCTCACAACCACCATGTCAGACTACACAGAGAAGCCATTGAAATCCACAAACATGTGGACAATTTCAACAGAAAGGAAGAAACCATGAAAATGAACAAAATCTGGCTACCAGTATTAAAAAATTCTAAAATTGCAACAGCAAAAACAGCAGAGAGAAAAACAGGCAGGGACATCTAATCACCTTTCAAGAAGAGTTTGCTCCAGGCACAGTCAGCCCATTGTATGCTAATCAAGGTGGTCAGTTGAAAGATTCTCACCTAGCCCAACTTACAAAAGCCCTTTGTCTCACCCTGGTCATTCCACAGATATATAACCCCTTTTTCCCAGTTCCAGCAGACCTCACCTCTGAGGATGCTTGCCAAAGATGCAGGCGAAACGTCAGGAGAAATGCCTCTAGAACATGGCCATATAGCCCGAAAAAACCCACAAGAACTGGGCATGTGAGGTCACTTGCATAAGACAACTTAGGAGTTCACATCTAAAACAAGATTTGGACCAGGGGCTTTATATTATAGAGACTATTCTTAAACATGTCACCTAACCCTGTGTATATTTCACATGGTGCATATTGCACTTTAGCAACCTCTTTATGTTCAGGGTGCTGTTTTATTGTGTCAGAAGCAACTTGAGAAATTACAAGTCACTTCTGGTATGAGAGAATTGGCTATCTGCAGAAAAGGTGCCCAGGGGACGCCCGGATGTGTTACCATCCTGTGGGAGGCTTCTCTCATGTCCCCAGAGGGGAAACTGGAGCTGACAGACAGGAACTCATCCTGTATTGTGAATTCAAACTGCTGACCTTCAAGTCAGCAGTTCAGCCGGCACAAGGGTTTGAACCATTGTGCCACCATGGCTCCTTCAGGGTGCTGATACTTACTGTTCATGACTTGGAATAAAAATACATGAAGGAGCACCTCTCCCCATGTTAATCCATTTAAGATGTAAATTCTCCCAATGAGTCCCTTCAAGAGAAGCTGCAAGTGTGAAATAGCTGCCATATAATTTTTAAAAATCATTCTTCAGATGTCCATGTTTGTAATTAATTTCTATTGTATACACCCTGAAGGAGCCATGAAAGGCATATTTATACGATCTCATCTGCCTTCTCCCATAGCTATCAAAAGTATAAATCACAAATCATGATAGTTGACTTTTTAGAGAACAACGTCAACTAAATCTCAGGTGCATATGTTAGTTCATCTGAGTGCCCCAAATTCATACTATCATTTGCACATTGCAAACAAGGAAAGCAAACCACTTTCTACTAATTTTAATTTTTGTTCTTTATAAAAGAAATTTTGTTTTTCAGCATAGTTTTCTCTGTAAGGTTGAGCATGAAATTTATACTACCTAGTAGCACTACCATTATTGTTTTGAAGAGAGCTTGGGAAAGCTATTTTTTTTTAAGTAATAGCCAGAATCCCTTAACAGTCGAGTCATGTGGCCAGGTTCCTTGGGAGATTCCAACAAGTCTAATTTTAAACACCACAAAGTTTCCCAGTTCTAGTTTTTAAATTAGTACAGTCCATTACAATATGTGCTAGCTGATACATCATGTAGAAGCAGAAACAAAATATCGTGTAAAAATAAAATACAACATCAAGAAAGTTTGCTTTTAAAAATAAATACATTGAAAATTAAAAGAAAAGATTTCAAATAGATCTTGTTCAACAGAAAACAACTTTCAGTTATAAAGATCAACCAGAACGTTTACTGCATACTTCTTTGTATCTGGATAGACATAGATATAGATACTTATAGATAAAGTATGATGTATGAGTTTGTACTAATAGTGGTACAAAAGCCAGATGCACAGTAATTGCATTATGTCTTTTTCTAATTTAATTTCCTCAAGTCACATGCCTTGTATGTTCCATTCCAGTTTTTTCTCCAGTTTTGACTACACTGTGCTTTTTGTTCAGTATATAACAGCTTGGAAAAGTTACTTATTCATGATACAACTCAACAATGCCCCAGCCAGCATGGTAGGTGTATCTGTAAGTCGTAATAAAAATTACTTATATAAATTGAGACAAACCCACATAACTTCACACAATAAGGTTGAAAGAAATCTCACACAGCTTAATGAAGAAATGGCTCACTATCCCCACTGATACTGTAAGAAGTCCAAGAATTGTATTAGGCTAAGAGAGTGATGCATTCTATGATGCCGTATTGGTATAATCTATACATTCAAATTTCAGCTAGTAAGTTAGATATACTACAGTTATCCCTCCACATTTCTGGTTTTCACATGTGCAGATCTGATTATTCATGGATTTCATTAACAGCATTCGCTCCAAGGATCTTTAGGCTCTCCAGTGTGACTCTAAGGTCACCTTCCTTCAGCCCTGCTGTAAGGAGCTAGAGATTTCTAGAGAGAGTACCTTTCTAGGAATCTCTAATGACCTCAGCACATTTACCTTTGGCAGCATTCTTCCATCCATCCACAACTTCAGCTGGAGGATGGATGGGCTTGCCACCCATTACACACTTTAAGAGAACTTCTTGTGGAGTTCAACTGGAGATAAAGTGTTGCGTGATTCCTCCCTCTCAATACAGGAGGCTTCCCATGTTGTGCTGGCTCCAATGGAGTCAGCACATGTCCGCGTTGCTTCAACGACTCTTCCCTGTGTGATGGGGGAAGGATTGCTGTGAGGGAGTGATGCGTGGGGCAACGGATTTGCCCCAGCTGCCCCTCATTTCAGTGGCGAAGCAAGATGCTTCACCTGGCTAATTTGATAAGCTCCTTAGTCCTCCAATGCACTTCTATGCTCAGCTTCTAGAAGAAGTTGACGATAGAGATGTGCTGGAAAACCTAGAAATTCTTAGACAGATGTTTTCTCAAGTGAAAATATAGCAATGTCTTTATTCACAGAGTTTATGTAGTTTTTTTGGGCTGTATGGCCATGTTCTAAAAGCATTCTCTCCTGATATTTCGCCTGTATCTATGGCAGGCATCCTCAGAGGTTGTGAGGTTTCTTTATTCACATTTTTTCACTTTCATGAGGATCCTGTATCCCTAACCCCAGTGAATGTGGATGGCTGACTGTAGTTTGCAGTGGCAAGAGGAGAAAAGCAATGTGAACATGACAGTGAAAGAGAATTTATGATGGATAAAATGAGGAACAACCCAGCAGGAGAACATGAGTTCTGACTAATTTTCACTCAGTTCTATATATCCAATATGTACAATTTTGCCCTGGCGGTAACCCATTGAACCTCAACAGCTAAAGGCTACCCTGCAATAATCATTAACTCTCTTTGCTGAAGGACTAATCTATGTTTGCTGATGTGTGAGCCATTAAAAAACACGTCCAAATCTCTGTAGAAATTAATGTTGCTGTTCTTAAAGACTTAAAGCCTAACAAAATCCAGCTGCTTTGAATCTCCTTTTAGAGAGAAAATATGGGATATAAAACATCACCACCATCACTGTCATCATCATCATCATCATCTCATAATATATTTTGTGATTTTTCCAGTATCAATGTTAAAATAAATTTTATAATCCATTTTGCTAGAGTTCTTTTATGCTGCATAGTGAATAAAAGGCTGTGTGTAACCTTGGCCAAACCACAGATACATAACTTGATTTCATGGAGTGGGTTAGGGAGCTGGGTATGTTAACTTGGAGAAAAGAAGGCTGTGAAAGATTTGAAAGGGTTTGTGTGCATGTCAGGAGTGACTTGAGAAACTACAAGTTGCTTCTGGTGTGAGAGAATTGGCCATCTGCAAGGACATTGTTTGATGTTTTACCATCCTGGAGCTGACAGAGGGAGCTCATCTGCGCTGTCCCCAGATTTGGACCGGCAACCATCAGGTCAGCAACCCAACCTTCAAGTTAGCAGTCCCACTGGGGGCTTCTTGAAAAGATGTCACATTGAGAAGGGGACAATCTTGTTTTCTGTTGCTCTGGAAACAGGATATGGAGCAGGAGACTCAAATTGCAGGAAAAAAGATTCCACCTAAACATTAGGAAGAACTTCCTGGTGGTAAGAGTGGAAAATACTGCCCTGGACCATAGTGCAGTCTCCATCCATGGAGCTTTTGAAGCAGAGGCTTGATCAGCTCAAGTTACCACTAGTGAAGGCGATGCCACTGAGTATAGTTTGCCAGGTGAGTTTGTTGATACTACTACACCATTAGCTGACTCACATTGGGTGATGATGCAGTTTCCCAAGGGTAGCCTTGGGGAGTTTAGGGCAGGTCTAATGAGCAAACAAATAA